GCCCGGGGGAGGGGGCGGCGCAGCCGAGACCCGCGCATTCGGTGCTGCAGCGAGAGCGACGTCGTTGTTCATCTGTGCGAAGTGGAGGGGCGGTTCTTGGCCTCTGCTCCAAAAAAGAAGGGTTTGAAATCTGCTTAAAATTTTACCGCTGCATAGAAAAACTGGTGTAACAGGGTTGTGTCGTTTTTCTTCACACTTCGAAAGGAACAGCTGCTGCGAGCTCTAGATTTCCGGAACAAGTTTTCTCCCCGCCCGTACTTACCTTCACGCGTGATACCTCCAGAAAGGAAAAAGGTGAGAGTTAACACACGCACTGGTTTTGTAAACTTCCCTAGTAGCCTGGCTAGTCGTCTTCACTAGTAGTGGGCCTGCAAAGCTTTACATCTGTCTGGCTCCTGTGTAAGTACAGGCCTTGAAGACCTGCAGGGTACGGTGTGGCTGATGCAGCAGTCCATTAGAAAACTGCCATTTAAAATCTCCATTCTGTTGCTTATTTTTTAATTTAATTGCTACTTACTACTTACTTAACTCCTCTATTTATAGGAACTCTTTGTAGCTGAACAGCAAAGAGTCTGTTTACTCTTGGTAAGACTAAAACCTAGGATTTTGTACATACAGTAGAGTGAGCTGCTTTACATACCATCAAATTTCTGCACTTCAAGTCGTTCAGGGAAGACTCAGTGAAATGGATCGGTGTTTTCTGAGGGGCTCTCAGTGTCAGAATCCCACAGTTTCCCCACTGAAGCCCCTGTTTGAATCTGTTATGGGGGCCTGCGAGACGACTGGTCCAGAGTGTCACTCTGTGGGAACAGATGTTCCAGGTCACACTGAACGTCCATCCAGAGACTCCATTTGCTGTTTCTAGGAGCTTTGCTCCTCATCAGCATCCCTCTAGCATTCCCACGGAATGCATGCAGTGTGTGCACACTGTGGTGGAAGTCTTCAGACAACTGATTAATCAGTCAAGTTTTAAAACTTTTAGAGGGACGCTTCATTAGTAATGTGCCTCATACTAATGTTTGGTTGCTGAAAATACCGTCAGTATCACTACATACTTAGCATTATTTTGTCCTTAACAGTCATGCTGTACATTGATTGCAAGACAGCAGCACAGAGCTGATGCTCTCTTGTTAGCGCTAATGGGTTACTCTCTACTCTAATCCCCTAGACCAGGATCTTACTCTTCTGGAAGATGCCTGGATTTCTAGACAGTTTTGAACTGAAAAGTTTCCACTGTGACTGTGTGCTTCAGGATGCTGAGGAATCATTTTCCGAGCCACAGCAAGTGCCTTGTCCTGTTGCTTGGCCTTGTTTGGTTGGGTTTTTTTTAATCAGGGCAGGAAGAGTTAGAAAGTTTAGGTATTTTGCTTCCTCTTGAGTTTGTGTTTGCAAATAAATGCAGAATGAAGTTTCATGGCCCTTGCAGAAGGGCTGAATTCATATAATTTCTGAATTCATTGTAATTTCTGGGAAGCAGGAAATTTTTATCTTGCCTCACATTCCAATCTTCTTTCTTGTATTAGATTCTTCTCAGTGATATCTTAGAAATTAGATGGCCTGACCCTGCTACAGCTGATCTGACAAGATGTGTAGACAACGGCATTGTGCGGATTTCATCAGTAGATGGTTATGCTCACCTTAACCTGCCAGAATTGCAGCAAGAATTTACAGTGGAGTTCTTGTGCAAAGTCAGCCAGTCCTCTGCAGCATCCTTACACTCCTCTCAAAAAAAGAGTAACTGTGAAGCTGGAGAACAGTGTGCAAAATCAGGTAAAACGTCTGTGGCAGAAATACCGTTGAAACAAACTAGAATAGAGAAGAGTGAACATCTTTGCGCTGATGGCAAATACGGGGAACCAACCAAACCAAAAGACCAAAAAGATGTAAAGGGAGTACCTTTGATCTACAGTACTTGTTCATCTGAATACACATGGGTTACACAGCGTTGGTCTGTTGCCTCCTACCCAGAAGAATGGAAATACCCTTTGTCCCTGGCGCTAATGTGTTATAACTTACACACTGTTAAGAGTGCAGTGAAAATGAGTGAGAAAAACAACCATCCATGTGTAGAAGCTCATGTTTTAATAGACCATGAAGCACATGCAACAGTTTCTCATCTACCTGCAGCTTTGCCACTCAGCTGCAGGTCACCACATTTACACAGGTAATTTAAGCTGTTTATTTTGTAGTCGTTAACATGTGTTTTACAATTCTGCAGTTTGGAACTTCGACCTCCAGCAAAATAACTGGATTTTAGGTATGAAGATACTATCATACTGGGGTTTTTTAGGGGCTTGTTGAAACATGTAATTTGTGAAACCAACACTCTGTATCCTGCTGTAAGGAATATATAGTAATTAGTCCAGGGGAAAATACATTTTATTTTCTGACATGCTGTAGAAACGTGCAAATGAAAAGAAAATACTGAAAAAAGAATACAGGTTTTGGGTTGGTTTGTGGGTTTTTTTCTTTTTTGAGAAGATAATACTTCTGAAGTGGGCCAGTGGCGTATGTTCTCTGTCAGCACCACTGAAAGTCAAAAAAACCTTTGCATGTTTGAGAAAACTAATTTGATAACTAAAGTAGATTACTAAGGAATTGGAGGACTTTGAATACGTGCAGCCTCTTTTCCTTTGAATAGGTGTGTATGCATCTGTTCTTGGTACAGAAATGATTACCAGCACATAAAAAAACCCACAACCTTTGGACTTAATGAAGCCTTTATTGTATTTTGTACAGGTGGACTTTCTGTGACTTCTTCCAGAATCAAGATACTGAAAAGTATTCATGCCATCAGCTCATTCGTATTGTATGGTGCGAGGGTGTTTTTTATAGGTATGTAGAATATCATGCATTTTATCTTTGGAAGACTAGTTTGTATGGGTATTAAACTTTAAGCATCTTACTTTCACACTCTGAGAAATTGTACACAGTCTTCACCTAAGAAGAGTCTGTGCTGTTTCTTCATTGAACTGTATGTTTTCTGGTACAATGTATTTCAAAGTCTGAAGGTAGGTGTATCTGAAACAATCAGAGATGATGTTTAAGGCTTTTAAAGAAGTGGTTTGATTATCACTGGACAGCTGGCCACACACAGACTTCACCAACAGTTAATGTTGCTTGATTTATTTGCAAATTACATTGCTTCCTTTGATGCTGAAGACTGTGTGCTTTAGAAATGTTTGCCTTGGTGACCTACATAACTCACATGTTGCAAGCAGCTAAACTGGATTTTCCTGGTAAATCACCTTGTCCATATGGTTTAAAAAAAAAAAGGCATTTTCTTAAATTACCATTTCAAATCTGTTAGACAAACTTTGAAAATGCTACATTTGCTATCAGCATTTAAAAGTCTCTAGTAAAAGCATAATTGGTCTTTAAAGCTTTCATCTTTCTGCCTAGTGTTCCTTATTATTCTCAGTGTAATTCCTAATTTTCATCTCATCTGAAAATGTTTAGTAGCTCTTCAGGATTACACTTCGTTTGTTTGGAAGTATGCCATACGTAGCCTTGTAAGTCCCATTACCAACGTCAAGGCATCTAACCACAGAGTTGGAGAATTGGTTCTGAGTTTTAGGATCCAAGTTACCATATGATCCCGAGTAAAGATTGTTGATCTTGGTGGAAAAAAAACACAGCTGCACTGGAAATTAAGACCTTCAGGTTGTTCAGGAATGATTCAATCTGACAGTTTTCTGGATACTCTAGATAGGGCTGGCCCGCTGAGGAAATGGGATTTTTCTCTGTGGAATCACTGTATTTTGTGGTAGGTGGAATGACCAGCTCCTGTGAGATCTTTAAGTCAACAAAAAAAGCTTTCTTAGCTTGTTTAACTACCATCCCCCATGCACACATGCAGACAAAGAGCTTGGTAATACTAATCTTCTGTGTTAAAAGACTTAGCTGGTGAAACGGTGTCAAGTTTTTCATGTAAGAGTTGGGTTGAAAATGTGTTTCTGCTTAGTGCTTTCTTGAAGTGTACTAAGCTGTTTTGCTTGTCTAGTGCCACAGCATGTTATTTCTCTTAGATTTATCCACGGTAGGATGAATGTTGCAGAAATCTATCCTGGTGATGACTCATTTTTCAAGTCAGAGGGAGCATTTCTGGGAAACTATTTCATACATTATGCAATCCCAAAAGGAACAAAAAAGGTATGAAACTATTTTAAAACATGTTCCAAATTCCTTCAAGTTAGCCATTTTCTTAGCTTTAAGGCATTTGGCTCTGCAGTTTGTAGTGAAGTCCATACATTGGTAATTACTGTCATGACTGAATCAAGCAATCAGTCATACAGAAAATGAGATTATTCTCTTTCAGAATGTATTTCTGTAAACTGTAGACATAAATGTTATGACTAAGATTTTTTCTTATTATTTCACAAGCTCAAGTATGTACTGTAGTAAGATTCTACAATAGCCATTTCCTACTGATTTAGAAGTTTAGACTTCATTATGTTAGAGTTTAGTCTTTATGTACTTGGAAATGTTGTCCTTTTGACCATGTGGAGGCAGAATTGGAAAGATGGAGGTTGTGTTCTGGCTGATCAGCTGTTCAGTGATGTAGAAATGATTTTGCCTCACTGTGTCTATTGTTGTGTACCCAGAGTAGAGATCCTCTCAAGTGCTTATGCAGTCCTTTGTATTTTTAAAGTGGAATTAAAGGTTAACTTTGTACCCTTTGAACCTAGCCTTTAACTTATAGTCAAACATAGTCAGTAATGAACTAGAGTCTGCTCTCTGATAAGAAAACTTCTTGGTCCATACTGCGTACATGAAACCATGAGTACTTCTTCCCACAGAACTAGGCTTAAATTCAAGGAGGTACTTTGTCTGTGGACTGTGACAGATTTAAATGTGACTATAGTTGCTTTCTGGGAAGTCAGAAATTTCATGTCTTGGAAGTGTTAATACTGTTTTCATGCTACGGTACCTGTAACTAACTCATCTCCTTTCTGCTCTTCACTGCAGAGAGAAGAAAAGATGTATTCAGTAAACAGCCTACCTCCTGATGTACCAGGAAAGCCGTACTCTATATCCTCCATTATTAATCAGGCAACCAAGTAACTAAAAATTGCACATGAAGTTTATTATTAAATTAAATATAACAATTAAAGGAATTTTATTAGCACTGAGGACACCTATAAACTTAAAAGGATCACATTTGTTCAGAAGACATAGTGCCTATGAGATGCTTAATACTTTCTGTGTTTTTTTTATCCTCAGAATACTTCAGTACTGCTACAGGACTAAACTGTCATTAACTCATAACTGTTACCTCTGCTGCTGGAAAATGGTACGTAGCTGAAGATTTGTAGATCTTTAAGCGTTACAAGGATGACTATGCAGGCTATAGGGAATAGAACCTAATCAAGAGGGAAGAATGGTGCGTGTTTCCTCAAAGATCAGAAGGTATGTACGTGGTGACCAAAAGCATGCAGCATAGTGGTCTATTTCTGAAGCAGAAAACAAGTACATGATAAGGAGAGCTGGTTGTGATCTGGAGAAGACTAGTGAATTGAAAATCTAGAGAGATACAAACAGCTGTATTGATGTAAGTAACCTTCATGTATTTGTTTGGTTCTAGGTGCCTGAGACAGATGGACGAGAAATGTTGCCAGTTTTGTTGTATGAAAAGGTTATTCCCAGCATGGGAAGGCTTGTTGTGTACTCAGATCATAAAGTCCATGCTGCTTTTTGGGATGGGATAACCTTGAACATGATCTGGGATTTCAGTTCTTCCGGTAGTGAGATCCAGGTACTTCACGAGTAGAGGAATGACTATTCTTAAGACTCTTCATGAAAAAGTGATACTAGCAGACTAAGGACGAACCAAAGCAAAAGTTTTGATGCCTATGAAATACAATTTGAAGTCTTTTGAGAGATTCATAACTCAGAGCAGTTTGCTGCTGTAGCCTACTGCTCAACATGCGTAGTAGTCTAAAGGAAAATAGGAACTACTGCAAATTTCACTGTTAATGTACTGCCAGTATTTCAACCAGAAACAATGAGAAGAATGTTTTAATGCATACGTGAAGAGACAAATGAAACTTTATTCTTTTAAGAACTCACTCACAGAGAAGGGAATATTTGGGCTTTTTTAATACAAATTATCTATAATTGAGCAAATGAATAGTGGAAATTTACTTGGAAAAGTAACCTTGTGCATATGGTGTTCTATATATTTTTTTAAATCTATTTAATATGGAAGTAAAAAGATTATATTGATTTTGCGAAACAGCACTACAGAAAAAATTATGTGAGTGGGGGATTCAAGGTTGAATGCTGAGACTTTTGGCTTCTGTGTGTTTGGTTATTATCCTAAGGTGACATGACACCAAAAAAATGTTAAAAGGTCTGAGGATATCTCTACTATAAACAATATAAATACAATAGTATGTCAAAAGATACAGTATAACTTCATTATGTGAGCTAGCTCAAATTTATATACTCATGATTAAAGGAGGAAGAACAGAAATGTTTCCAAAACTGTAGATTTTTCAACACACTTTTAGAAATAATTTGTTCTGAATAGCACAGAACAAGTATTGAGGCTGCGTCAGGTATTCTTTTTTCCCTGCATTTTTCGTAGCAGACTATACAAAATTCTATCCTTGGCATAACACAAACTTCTAAGTGTTTAAAGTGGAATGTTCATAGATACTTAATTCTTAAATTGGCATATTATACTTGCTCTCTTTGTTTCAGACTGCAGCAGAAAATTAATACTTGCAATTTGTTTTTTCTTATAAGGTAAACGAAGAGATAGGTTGGTGTAAGTTAACTACACCTGATGGGGTAGAGCAGCTAATACAAATAAGTCATCCTGGAGTCTATGAAAGGTATAAGTAATTTAAACAATTTAAAATTAAATATAAAATAACTTTGTAAACAATTTATGTTATATGAAGAAATGGTATTTACTGAAAATACATTGAGTGGAGAACTAAATATGTAATGATAAAAACTCTTATCTTGCATCTGGCAAATGTTCGTGACCTGTATGACTCAGGACCACCGCATGCTGTCATTCCATTATAACTGTTACAGTAATGTCTTTTTTATAAAAAAAAGTAACTAGAGATACAACTTGGTACTTAAAACAAGGGATAAGAAAAAAATAAAAGCTTTTGTCCTATATAGAGATAGTAGATAGAACTTGGTAGCACTTACCCCATTTTTTGCTTTATTACAGCTATTGACCTCTGCCTGCAGATTGCTTTCTCTAATCTGCTTGCTCTAATTAGAGCCTCATTATGGGAATCATCAAAAGCTTACTGTGCTGCATTTTAGCAGGCAGATAGTACAAAAAAAATTAACATTACAAATCATACAGCTTTGTTACAGTTTTCCATAACTGCATAGGTTTAAATATGAAGGAGATTGTAGAGAAGAAGTGGGAATCAAAAAATGGCAAGGAAACTTGGAGAATAAGCTAGATTTTGAGGCATGGGTTTTTCTTCCATATCCAGGTGTTTTGCTTAATGCCTTCACGTTTTTTTTCCTTGAATTAGTAGAGTGTATTTCTCATGCACTTAACTACATTTTTGTGTATCTTCATGTTAATACAGGTACATCAGAAGAGCAATAGAATGGTGCAGAAGTTTGAACAGAAGGAAGGAGATTCCTGAATATAATGCACACTCTGTAGCTGAAGAAAATTGGTATTTGTCTTTATCTAAATAATTGACTACAAATAATGTTAGAAATAAAACTTAAAAAGACTATAACTGATTTCATAGACTGCATTTCCTAAAGATCAAAAATGAGAATTGGAAGTTTGTTTTCATATTTTTCTTCCAGTGTTTTAAAGTATTAGGTGAGTTCTGAGTGAAACTTGTGTCATCTGCTTCTACCTACCTTACTTAAAAATCAGAATTATGGTGAGTGCCACAGGAGGATTAGTTTTACAGAGACAGTATCTTGCAAGGACAAAAAGCAAAGCTAGAGTAAGAAGGGCTTTCTCTAACAGAACACCCAGTAGATCAAAATAGTACTTTGAAGTGCTAAATGACACTCATACCTTTGATAGTGTATTTGTCCTTTCTAATATATGCTACAGACCACAGGTCTGCTGGCATCATGTACCAACATTCTGGTATTAAAAATGTGTCACTTGAAATTGATTACACTTGAACTTGTTCAAATTATAGCAGATTCAGCAGCAAATGAAACAAAAATTATGCCTAAATTTATACATACATACAGCAAAGAGACTATTCTTGGAGCAGAGCCCTGATTTTTGGAAACACGAATGATTGACGAATGGCAGCATTGACTAGTGGTATGACAGACAAAAATAAATCACTTGGGTTTTGCTCATCTAATTTTCCATATTGCTGGGAAACGATTAGAATTTAAAATCTGAAGTAGAAAATACATTTGAGAACTTTTATGATAGTAAATTGTTTCATAATGTTTATTTTCTTGCACAGGTCTGCTGATGCTGAGCTTGAAAAAATACGGAGATTTAACTGTATCCTTTTGAAAGCTGTAAAATTTAATGTTGTTCTTTATGTGCATATTCAAATATGGTGGTTTAGCTCATCAAAGGCTGTCCTGTTCTCACCTTTTACTGTTTTACCCACTTCTTAAAATGATCTTTTAAAGACAGTTTTTGTTTTCTTATATTTTTTACACTTTTTATCATTTATCTTCTTCAACTTCTTCATTACAGTACCAGAAACAAAAAGTGACAGAGTACAAAACTAAAATAAAAAATAACCAGAAATAAGAAAGCTCTTTAATGGGAATTGCATTAGTTTTGCTAACATTCATCTGCTGGTCTGTTACTGAATGAGGGATGACACAGTTGCCTTTGGGCTTGTTGTTTCAGTACAATACCTTTCTGTTTATGAGCTACCTCAGTATTTGCCCCATTGTGTTCAGCCAGCTCAAAAAAGTGTGCTTCACTGCATGTGCTGAAAGCCACTCAGCAACTGCTGTTAAGCCAGTGTTCAATTTCATCAGTGTGAAAAGGGCATGCTGTTAAACTGTGCAGTGTGGCATCAGATAGCTTCCTTTTTAAGGTAACTTTTGGATAAATTCAAGTCTTCAAGTCATTTTCTGTAAATGTTGTAGATATTGTAATCTCCTCCTATTTTTAGCTTTATGTAATTGCCATGCTATGAAATGAAAGACTTTACAGTGCAAAATGATGAATACAAATACGGAGACATTATTTTTCTCATTAGGAGGAAGAGTTTGATACTTTTTCTTAACAAGATAACACTAGTTTTATTGGATAATAGCAACGTTCTGGAAAAGACATCTGCTGCAAAAGTCAATCCCTCTGGTATTACTGTCAGAAAAACAGAACGTGAGAGTGAGCTGGAAGAAATCAGTGAAGGGTGTGTCTTGGAGGCTCTGGAAAGAACTTCTAAAGTAATTCAGGATATTGAGTCTCTGCTTGCAGCTTCTGGGAAGTGAAGCCTCGTGTGAAGACCCGCATTCCCTGTCTTCACAGGAGCTGTGCAGGCAGTGTCTGAGGAGGCACTGAGGCACAAAAAGAGTGAAGGCAGAAGTTGTAGCGATCACATTATGGGACCACAGCAGACCAGTGAAGCCTGTAATACTGCAGTTGTATGTCATGGATTGCCAAAAAGGGCGGGTGAGGTCATAGAGCACTGATGTATAAATACCTCAAGGGCTGGCCCGACAGCGCTGCTTTTAAGTGTGTGAATGTCCGTTTCACTTGCATAATTTTATAGGGGAGGGTCTAAGCAACTGAGTTAACTGCTCAAGCGACTAAGGTGGGGGCTAAGTAGTTTTAACTGTAAAAAATGCCTAGTGTTGAATAGTGCCCCAGACGCTTTCTACTCTGTACACTTTCGTAGTAAATAAATCGTTGTTTCCTCGTCCAGCGCCTTACTTAATCGCGTTGTGAACGCAGAAATCGCGTCGCTTAACACCCCTCTAAAAACTGCTCCCTCAGCACCACTCCCCTCACACAGGAGGAGGAGGAGGGGGGCGAGGGCGGCTCCATCAGGCGGGGCGGGCGGGCTCGCGTCCCAGCGTTCTGCGCGGCCACGCATGCTTCGTAGGCCGCGCTTCCGAAGGGGTGCCAGGGGTGGATTCCCTTCACTTCTGTCGGGGAGAAAAAGGGGCAGCAGAGCCAGGGCTGTGCTTCAGGTGGGCGCGGAGGGACAGGGTGGGCACAGGGAGAGTGCGCTGGGAGGCCTCCTGCCTCCGCTGGGATGAGGGGATCTCACTGACCGCAGGGGAAGCGGGAAGCCGCCCGGCCTTGGGTACATTCGGATGACAAATGCTTTTTTTTTTTTTTTCTTCCACCGAATAGTCCAATGTTTCTAGTACCTAAATACTTTCAGGATTTATTTTTTTTCTTTCAGCTTGTTTTTCTTTCAGGTACATCTCAGTTTGCAGAGTGCTCGTTAAGGAGAAGGTCTGCGTTTTGGTGGGTTTTTTTCTGTGGTCCCTGAAATAAAATAGTTACATTGAATCCCGATTTTGTGGGCGTTTCGTTTCGGGATTTTTCCCCCCTAATTTCCTGCTGTTTTGTACCACAGTGGTAAATTGTAATGATTTCTCGTGTGTTTTTGTCCTCATTCAGCCTCCTTCCATCCTCCAACCCAAATAATGCATTATAGTTATCTGACCCAAAAGTATTTGTGTTATTGGTTCTCTGCAGATTGTTTTAGGCTTGGATCTGCTTTTCTGTGAGATAATGCATCAGAGGTTTGAGCTTGTGCCTTAAGTGATATTGTACTTTATGCAATTTTTGGTGTAAGTTAAAACCCAATATGAAATGTTTTATTAAGGGACTATTGCCATCTTATGACTCCTTGCATAAAGTGTGTAGTTCTGCTAATTTTTTGCATTAGATTTCAATATGTATTCATGTACCCAATAAAGTCTGGCAAAATTGAGGCAAAAAAACTGGGAGAGCAGTATTTTTAAATTGTTATTTTAGCCGTTGGATTTTTATTTTGCTCTTATGCTCTGAGTTGAAAGGCCTCTTATTGCCAGCTGTTTCCGCAAATGCATATTTACAGCTTTGATCTAAGTATCTTCTCGTGCCACTAGTTTACGATGTTAAATGTGCATTTGTTAAAATTATTTTTATAGTTTCTGCAAATGAATTTAAATATATCAGCAAAATTGCATTTTGTGGATATAGATGGAGATTCTGCATACTGCTTTATCACATGTAAAAATGTGATGAGAAATAACAAATTTAAGCAGTTATTCTGTCAGCTGTTGTGTGCCTGTGTTTTATGTAAGCCCGGTGTAAATCTTGTCTTCAGTATTTTAACTGGACCAGCCAGTCACAGGTTTGTAAGCATGCTTGTGCAATGCGTCTATTTCCCACTGTCCTATTTTAACAAGAATGTAATCTCCACAGTAACACTTTCTAAGATTTATAGCATAGAAAAGCATGATACTTCATTGTGATGTTTCATAAAAAGTCTGAAAATCATTTTCAGAAAGAAAATGCGGCTTCTAGTTCTATATTAAAAATTGTAATTTCGGAGATTGATTTAGTTGAACAGAGTTTTGCTTTTTGAAGTCTGATTTCACTCTTGATCTACAGAGTTTTTATACTTACAGCATTGTACCTGGGAACGTGACCTTGTTTTTATACAGGAGTAATTTTTGTCCATAAAAGACAGCAGAGATGAACAATTTAAAAAGAACCATTATGCCATGAACATGGCTCTTGACTAAGAGTAACATGAAACTGCATTTTTGCTTCCCGTTCTTCATTTGGAGCATGTTCACAGGAGGGCCACAAGGATGAACCAGGGGCTGGAGCACCTCTGCTACGAGGACAGGCTGCAGGAGCTGGGATTGTTCAGTCTGGAGAAGAGACTTTCGAAGGGACCTAATAGCTGCCTTCCAGTACCTGAAGGGAACCTACAGGAAGGCTGGGGAGGGACTTTTTACAAGAGTGTCCACTGATAGGACAAGGGGAAATGAGTTTAAGTTGAATAGATTTAGATTGGACCTTAGGAAGAAATTCATCAGTACGAGGGCAGCAAGACTTTGGAATAAATTGCCCAGAGATGTTGTGGCTGCCCCCTCCCTGGAGGTGTTCAAGGCCAAGTTGGATGGAGCCTTGAGTAGCCTGATCTAGTTGAGAGGCGTCCCTGCCCATGACAGGGAGCTTGGACTAGATGATCTCTAAGGTCCCTTCCAGCCTAGGCCATTCTATGATTCTATCTCAAAGACACCCATTCGCTTACTGCCCTTGTTACCTTTATTTCTCGATACATAATTCTCAAATCATATTCATTTTACTTTTCCTGTGTACTTTATCAATGTATTAATAATATCCATAGCAAAGTAGTGTAAGCCCACCACAGAACTGATGCAGACCTCTGTTGCTACTTGAATTTATAGGCCCCTCTTTAGCTATTTTAAGGTTGCTAATTGATGGGATGAAATTAGAAAGAGATCCTTGAGTGTGACTCAAATATTTCATTAGATGGGAATCTTTTTGACACACAAGAAAAAAAAAATCTGTTAAAATAGATCTCTCTGTATATTTTGAAATGCAGTTACCTAAAGCATAAAGCTGGAAGTGCCCTTTTCTGACTTTATGACATTAGATTTTATTATAATTATTTTCTTGTTCTATCTTTGTGCCTTTCTCTTGTTTTAGGGTTGTCTTTTCCTGCTTTCTTTAAAAGAGCTTCGAAGCCCTAGCTGAAGTTGCTTTCAGCTTGATTATTTTTTATTTATTTAGGATGGAACAAATGACATTTGATCTTTCCTGTGTTGGATTGGAGAGACTGGATTCAGAAAGCACAGAGGCTCAGTGCTGAGGTGTAGACCACATTTCCTACTGGAACAAGGCAACTGCAATGGAAAAAATATGTTCTCCTAGTCCCAGGGTAAGTTTGGTTCTGAATACTGGTAGGATTTTTAAAGGTATGTTGCTGTATCAACTCTTTTTGGATTGGGTCCTTTTACAGATTTTGTGGTAATTTTAAATAAAATCCAATATGACATGATGGTTATATAGAATAAACATTTGTGAGGAAATCACTATTTGTTCCTTAAAATGGAATTTATTCAGAAATACACTGTAATGTCACCCACCAGAAAATGGCAGTTGTGTTTCAGGAAATAACTTTTCATTCGAAAGAGACAAAGTCATGGTTAACAGACTCTAAACTTGACCCGCTTTTTTCATTTGCCTGCAAAGTTCATGTATTATTCATGATTTCTTCTTTTTTTTTTTTTGAAATGTTCTAAATAAACAAATCAGTGGGCTTTTTGCTATGACGATCTATGCCAGTAGTCATGTATTGTGGATAATTCTGCAGTAAACGTGCCTACAGATACTCTAGAAACATTTTATATTTTCTGGGTCTTATAATCAGTAATGTCTTTAAAATCATAAACTATTATATGTCAACATAGTTGGAACTTTTAATTTTTAAAGTAAGTCAAATACACGCATAGCTCATTCAGGAAAAAAATTAGCAGATAGAACTGTATGAAGAAGGACTATCAAGATTTAATGTGTTGCACACAAATGGCAACTTCTTGGGAAGAATCCATTTTTAGACAGGATGTAGGCTTTGAAACTGTTGCCTATCTCCATGGCTCCCTGAAAAGACAAAAGAGCATAACAGTTGGGACGGTTAGATTTGATGTTGTCCTTCAAAGGCGGTTTTTAAGTGTATTTAATGTAACAAAGATAGGAAATAGATCATCTGTATGAGGATTTTTATTTCAGAGGTGTTCTTTTTAATGTTATCACGCGAATGAGTACTCTGTCTTTTATAGTCTTGAGTGTCCTGTAATGGCTTCTTGGGAGTGGGGTGAGGGTGTCTTTAATATCTTGAATTATTTTTGGAATTCCTTTTGAGATGTCAAGGAGTTTTTTTAAGGGCAGTAATTATTCCAAATAAATCACCTCATATGAGGTTTGGTACATTTAGAGAACATAAAAAAGTTAAGGACTTTTAAAGGCGTTGCTATTAGCATTAACAATAACTTATTTTCAAATTACAACAGTCAGTGTCTGAAAAAATTACTGGGATTAGTTAATTGTTTTTGTGCAAAAATAGCTGTTATGGAGGTGATGTGGCAGAAATAGGCAAGCCGTAAAAGTAACAGTAATGTTTGCACATACTGAGGAAAAACATCTGTACTTCTGGTAACTTATGCTTGACTGAATGGTTGTTCTCATTGTGTTTATGATAAATGCTAAAGATATTTTAGTGTCTGTGTTTTCCTTCGTGCTTATTCCACATGACAGTCTCCAGGCTATACAAGTTGTTCACAGAGGGGTAGCAGGGTGATAATAAGGATGTTTACCGAGTATGTAAATGAAAATAGTGATTTGGATTATTGATTAGAAATTCAGTTTTAATAGTTGCTGCATAGAGAGATTTGAGACTTTTGAGCATCAGTCCTAAGAATCCTCCAAATTGAATTTCTTTGTTGTTATAGAGTAA